CTCTCCTTCCCTCTCCTTCCCTCTCCTTTCCTCTCCCCCTCCTCCTCCCTCTCCCTCTTCAGATAGGATCTTGCAATGCAGCCTAGGGCAGCCTTGAGTTCAGGATTCCCCTGCTTCATCCCAAATCCTGGGGTTGCAGGTGTGTGCCACCACGCCCTGTTTGGGATTAGCAGGCTTTGATAGGTTGGGAAGCTACATCTGACTGGTCTTAGTGTTCTGGAATGTCACCGCAGGGATGCAGAAGCAGCTGGTGCCAGCAGCAGTTGTGACCGCTCTGGTGACCACTCTTGGGCTGTCATGACCATCGTTGTAACTCTTCTTAGGTCTCATGTAATGTAGATAGGTTCTGATTCTCCCAAATCTTTTCTGAACAATTGGTTTAAACCTCTTGACTTTGATTTTGTTTTGGGGGAACTGATTTTTTGGAGACGCTATGGCAGTGTTTTAGCAGAATAATTCTTTTCTTTCTTAAAGTAGGAAAATATTTATTGATAGGAAAGCTCCTGAGGGGAGGAGGGGTCCTGAGCGGGTAGCCAAGGACCCCACTTTACAGAGGTTTTATAGGGTGAAACCCACAGGGGTACAACGTGGGCCACAGCACAGCCACAAACATCCAATAAGGTTACAAGTATAGTCACTTAGGTAATGGTGGTCGAATTGGGAAGCAAGTCTCATAGCAAGCTTGCAAGGATTTTCAGTAAGGGTGGGGGTCAGGGATATTTCCTGGAGAGGCTGGGTTAAGACCTTGACCCCCCACCCAGGTGATTGATACCTATTTAGAATATCAATCACTGCTATTTATCGCCAAGGGAAGCACAAGGTGTTTAGTTTCTCTCCTTTTACAATTCTGGCCTTCAGTGAATGTGTCTTGGGCCACAGTTGTCCTCCACGGCAAAGGCCCAGCCCTATGTAACCAGCTGTAATATTTATAACTAATTTAGCTGTCTACAATACCAAGAGCCCCCAATAACCTTCCAGCAAATCCCCTTGGCTTAGGTTGGTTTGTCCCTTTCTGTGCATACAGCCAGGAAGTCTAATTGATGTGGTGCTGTGGTTTGTTTCACCTTTGTCCTGGCCTTCTGGAGGACTTGGCCCTGTCTGACTGCCTATAATATTTCTACCTAGCTCATCTATTTATAATATTACCCCCTCTGAAGAAGTATCTTGAACCTCCGTGAGGGGCCAAGGGTCGATGACCGCTCGAGCTACTTCAGGCTGAAGGGTCTCGTAGTTGTGGTTGGCAGTCAGGGATACCTTTCAGAAGGTCTGTCTAAAGGTGACTCCTGTGTTACTCCATTATGTTGCATTGCAGCAAGGCGAGCCTGGACGGCCTGGGAAAAGGGAAGCTGCTGACTGCACAGGGGCACTGTAGCTAGATACAGTTAGTTACATGGCAGTGTATGCCTGTGTAGAAATGTAACCTTAGACATCCCGATATAGTCCCCAGGTCAGACCAGTTAATTCAGTCTGAAGTGAGACTTTGCGTAAACCTTCCCAGGTGACTTGACTGTTCAGTCAGGGCTGAGAACCACTGAGCCTCATAAATCATCTAGAAAACTCTCAAGAAAACATTGCCTTTGGGCTTCGGTGTTCCCTCTTCTTCAACAGCTGTTTTAAAATAGCTGGACAGAGCCAGGGATTTAACTCAGTGGTACTGCCTGCCTTGCAAGTGCAAGGTCCTGCATTCGATCCCCGGTACCAGAAAGAAAAAAAAATAGCTAGACAGAGACTGAGCATCAGGTGAAGTAGTTAAAAGCTAAGGTGGGTTCTGGGCGCCGGCTGGCGTTCGGCTGATTCTGTGGTGCCCCGGGTCCAGTGACTCGGCCCGGCCGCGCACTAGTGGGCAATATGTTGCAGCGGCGGCACAGCGACGAGAATGACGGTGGACAGCCTCACAAAAGGAGAAAGACTTCTGATGCCAGTGAAACTGAAGATCACTTGGAATCTTTAATATGCAAAGTAGGAGAAAAGAGAGCCTGCTCTTTGGAGAGCAATCTAGAAGGTTCGGCTGGTGTTTTAGAAGCTGATCTTCCTAACTACAAGAGCAAGATCTTAAGGCTTCTTTGTACAGTTGCACATCTGTTACCTGAGAAGGTGACAATTTATACAACACTAGTTGGACTTCTGAATGCCAGGAATTACAACTTTGGTGGAGAATTTGTAGAAGCCATGATTCGTCAACTTAAGGAATCGTTGAAGGCAAACAATTATATTGAAGCTGTATATTTGGTTCGTTTTTTATCTGATCTTGTGAATTGTCATGTGATTGCTGCCCCATCAATGGTTACTATGTTTGAAAATTTTGTAAGTGTAACTCAGAAGATGTACCTCAGGTATGACGGGATTGGTACGTGTATGCATTTTTGTCATCTTTGCCCTGGGTTGGAAAGGAGTTGTATGAAAAGAAAGATGCAGAGATGGACCACATCTTTGCCAATACTGAAAGCTATCTTAAAAGATGCCAAAAGACCCATGTGCCCATGTTACAAGTGTGATAAACCACATCCACAAGAAGAGTATTTAGATTGCCTGTGGGCCCAGATCCAGAAATTGAGAAAGGATCGCTGGCAGGAACGGCACATCCTCAGACCTTATCTTGCCTTTGATAGCATCCTCTGTGAAGCACTACAGCATAATCTGCCTCCCTTTACACCACCTCCCCGCACTGAAGATTCTGTGTACCTGATGCCAAGGGTTATCTTTAGAATGTTTGATTATACAGATGATCCTGAGGGTCCTGTGATGCCAGGGAGTCACTCAGTGGAAAGGTTTGTGATAGAGGAGAACCTCCACTGCATCATTAAGTCACACTGGAAGGAAAGGAAGACCTGTGCTGCACAGCTAGTGAGCTATCCAGGGAAGAACAAGATCCCCTTGAACTACCACATAGTTGAGGTGATCTTTGCAGAGCTGTTTCAACTTGCAGCACCCCCCCACATTGATGTGATGTACACAACACTTCTCACTGAATTGTGCAAACTTCAGCCTGGCTCTCTTTCCCAAGTTCTTGCACAGGCAACTGAAATGTTATACATGCGTTTGGACACAATGAATACTACATGTGTAGACAGGTTTATTAATTGGTTTTCTCACCATTTAAGTAACTTTCAGTTCCCTTGGAGCTGGGAAGATTGGTCAGATTGTCTGGCTCAAGATCTTGAAAGTCCCAAACCAAAGTTTGTAAGAGAAGTTTTAGAAAAATGTATGAGGTTGTCTTACCATCAGCGTATCTTAGATATTATTCCTCCTACCTTCTCAGCTCTATGTCCTGCAAATCCAACCTGCATTTACAAATACGGAGATGAAAGTAGCAATTTACTTCCTGGACATTCTGTGGCCCTGTGTTTAGCTGTTGCTTTTAAAAGTAAGGCAACCAATGATGAAATCTTCAGCATTTTGAAAGATGTACCGAATCCTAACGAGGATGATGATGATGATGAAGGATTCAGTTTTAACCCTTTGAAAGTAGAGGTCTTTGTACAGACTCTGCTACACTTGGCAGCCAAATCATTTAG